CAACAGCGCCCAGCAGGCGGACAAAAGGCGGCCCGCTACCGCACTAAGCTGGCCCTCGGCTCCCGAGCCCGGTGAGGCTGGTGAGCGCCGCCACGCCGTGCCCAGGTGTTCCCGCCTGCCTAACCACGCACCGCACTCCCGGCTCCTCTCTGGCCCTGCCCGCCCGGGGGCGCCGCCCACCGCACCTTGCTCGGTAAGTTTTCTCCAGTCAGCCTGGCCCGGCCCGGCCTTTCTCGGTCCTCGGGGTCTGCTCGCTGGGCATCTAAGTCGCACGGCCCATTGAGCCCCCGTAATTGTGGCGTCAGTATTTGGGGCTCGCCTTGGTCAGTAATGTTGGCGATTCAGACTCCCCGTCACAGGGCCCTAAGCCCAGGGAGAATATTCGGGGCCACGGGGAAGAGAGGCCTTCTGCCTTGGGCCTCTAGCCTGGCCATTTTTTTCCCCCGAGTCCGCACACCGCCAGCCTTCAGCATTCTCAGGGCCTCGCGGGGCTTCCCCCCTCCGGGTCCCCGAGCTGGGGCCTTTGTCTCCGCCACCTCCCACCCTTGGGCTGCAGCAGCGGATGCGCCCGAGCCGGGCAGCGGAGCGGGCGGCTGCACCTGCCGGCCGGTCCCGTGCGCCGGCTTTGCGCGGCTTAACCCGGCTCGCTCCTGCTTGCGCCCCCGCGCGCCGCTCCCCGCCGCCCTTTATCCTGTGTCACTGGGGTCCGGGTGGGGGAGAGCGCCGGGTCTGGAAGTCCGCCCCCACCCCCGTCTCAAGCTGCAGTCGGAATCCGTTTAGTGGGATTTCAATAAGAATGGGACCGCCGTGGAATCGGGGGACCGGTGGAAGAGAGGCGTAGTGGGCAGCCGGGCTGGAACTCGGGTGGCCCCAACCGCGAGGTGGGCGAAGGCCCCGCATTCAGGGTCCTCGGTTTTGGCAGTGGCTCTCTTTACCGGAAAACAAGGCAGGAAATTCGTTGTTTTGGAAAGAGCCGTGTCTCCCCGGGTCGAGAAGGTCTGGCGGGGAACCAGGAGGGGCTCGACGCGGGCACCTCGTGCTGGGATTCGTTTGTCAACTGGTGGGATTCCAGAAGGCAGGTAGGGCGAGAGCGGCTGCCCGTGCGTCTGGAGAGCGTTTCCCCAGCCGGGTGGACAAATTGCAAACAAATTGCGTTTAACGAAACGGATTTACCAGTTGACCTGCCGTAGGGCCGCCTGGTTCTCGGTAGTAAATCCAAGCGGTTCCTGGAGCAGGGAGAAACGAGGCCGGGTAGCCCGCGGCTCCGAGCAGGGCCTCTGGGGGGACCACCGCCTGGGAGGAGCCGTTGGAACAAGCTCGGAGGTGCCGAGGTGCAGGGTGCGGGGACGTGCAGAACCTTGGTCTCTGCAACACCCAAAGAACAGGCGCACCAAGGGGTGGGGAACCAGTGCGGAAGGCTGGGGCACAGGGAATTTCTTGATTTGGGAATGGCGAGGGAGGGGAGGTTCGGTTGCTGGACAAGAACCCCAAAGAGCAGGAGGGGCTACTGGGGGAAAGCTCCCCCACCCCACCCTAGGTTTTTGCCAGCTGGGGCGAATCCCAGGCCTCCAAGAGAAGCTTCTGAACGCTCCCACTTTATCCCTCATAGAGTGTGAGTTGCGGGGCCAACGGGTGGCGGGGAGGGCTGCCTCTTGGTGAACAGGTCTCCAGGAATCTCCCTCTCCCCTGCAGGCCAATTAGCCCGCACAGGACAAGGAGATTAGAATTAGGCCGCGAAGAGCTCAAATTTAGGGGTTCCATGGGGACCCCCCATTCCCGCCGCCGCGGATGAGAGAAGTTTAAACAAAGGGCGCCGCGAGGCTGGCAGCTCGGAACCGGGGAGAACCGGGCAGTTGCGAGCCCCGTGAGGTTCGCCAGGACCCACGGCTTCGCAGGCACAAGCTGCCGAGGCCCACCCCTGCCCCTTCTCGGGCCGGAACCCCGAGAGCGCTAGGAAAGTCTGGGCCGTTAGAAAAATCCGGTTTTGAGGCCGATCACCCCCCGACCAAGACATCTGGCTCCCACCTAAGTAAAGTGGCTGCCCGTTGGTGCGGCCAAAAATCACCACCTCCCGAGTTTCTTGCTACGCTCAGGAACGAATGGGAAAATTGAAACCAGGACCGTACACCCTTCCCACGATGTTCTGGGGATCCCAAAGTCTGACACCATAAACGGAAATAAATCTCCGCTGGTTAGGTCCGGTGCGCGGCGGGCTCCGCGGGTTGCCCTTCCCTCCCGGTGGTGGCCGAGGCGGGCGACGCTGCTCCGCCGGCGTCGGTGGTTCTGTCCGTTCTGTCCGGCTCACTCCCATTTAGGAGCGCACGCGGCCCTGGACGCGCCACTCGGCGCGGGGCTTCCCTCCCAGGCGGGTTCGTTGGTGCCGGAGAACGCCGCAACCCGCGTCCGGCGCAGGAGCTCCCGGGGCAGCGGAGGCCCGGGCAGCAGCCCGCCCGCGGGGTCGCGAGAGGTACCCCGGGAGGGCCCGAAGGACGCGGAGAGCCTCCCTCTCCCCCTCCCCTTTCCGTCCGGGTCGCAGTTAGGGGGACCGGTACGGGTCTCCCGAGGCCTCTGCTCCAGCACTGCTTAACCGCGCTGCTAAATCTCTCTGCGCAGCGATTTTCTAAGCCGCCGAGCGGGTAATTAAATCCTCGCAGGCCGGTCGCTCCGCGCCAGGCGGGCGGGCAGGGGACCCGCGGGGTCCGGTCACCTCTCCAACCCCCGCGGGGGCCAGGAGAAGCTGGAGGCTGAGCTCACGGTGCAAACTGGACAGACGGCACACCTCGAGCGGGGGGCGCCTTTTTAAGCACGCCGTTGGCCGAAAGAAAAAAAAGAAAAAGGCGAATTACCTGCTTTCCCCGGGGGGGCCTGTGTCGCCGCTTGCCTGCGCTCTGTGGCCGGTCGTGGCCAGGCGAGAAGTTTCCGCCCGGCTCCGGCGTCCACCGCCCCGCGGCGGGCTGATAGGAGCGGCGGGGCGGCCTCGCGCCGGCTCCGGGGTTCGAGCTCGGCGGGCACAGCCGTGCCCAACGCGGGGTGTGCCGGGGCGGGGAGGGGGCGGGGAGCGCGGCGTCCTGGAGAGGCTCCGGGAGGCTCCGCGGGATCTCACGTTTCGCGCAGAGGGAGGGAGGGTCCTGAGCGAAAAGGCCGGGAGACGTTAGAGCCCTTCGCCGAGGCTCCAACCCGGCCGCTCCGGGCCGCGCCGCTTGCGGGAGTCGGGGTACCGCTCACCTGCCCCGCCCCGGTGGCACAGGCCCCGCGCTCCCCGCTCCCGCACGCTTTCCCAGGCGGACGCCGGCCTCCTTTCCCCCGGAGCGCAGCTCCTGGCCGCCCAGGCCCGGGAGCCGAGAAAGAGGTGAAGACGCAGCGGGCACCCGGGGCAGGCGGGTCCCCAAGAAGCCAAGACACGCCAGTTCCCAGCCCAGTGGGCCTCTGTCCCCCGCCTCCCACCCCAACCCGACGCCTTTACCTGAGCCAGGGACCGGACAGACAAACGGACGCCAGCCGCGGATGTCGGAGACAGCTCCCCGGTCCGCGCCCCGTTACGCGCTGCCGGGAGCTGGCCTTGGCACGAGGTGCCGGGGGCGCGCCCGAGGAGCTGGGCTCGGCTGGGCGCCCCCCGAGCCGAGGGGACCGAGGGCTTTCCTCCCTCCTCAGATTATTAAAAAGTTCATTTCCTGGCGAATCGGGTGACGTCAGGGGCCCGGCGTCGCGGTGGCGGGGCCGCCCGGCCGGAGAAGCCGCCTCCAGTTACCCAATTACCGACTGTCAATCCCGCCGCCCCTCCCCCAGCTTGGGGGGTTGTACCCCAGCCCTCCCCCCCTTGCCCCGGACCCACCTGGGATTCTTCTGGACTGGAACACCACCACGAGCGCTGGGCCCAACGAGGGGACAATGGCTGGAGACCGTCAGTGCCTCCCCGGTCACCCCGCACCTGTGCAGGCGCGCCCCTTCCCCCAGGTATCCGCGTCCCCACCCTCGCTCTGAGGTTTGTTTTGAGCCTTCAAGGATCCGTACAACCGGGGGGTCGGGGAGAACGTCCCCGGTGCCCCCTGGAGCCACAGAGCAGAGCCAAGGGCTGGAGGTGTGCGGGCAGGGCCGTTCCAGGTGACTCAGGGGACAGAGTCCTTAGGCCACCTCCTCCCCATCCGTCCCCTGGGCCCGCCTCAGGGACCCGCGGGAGGGGGGCAAAATGCTTTCTCCTGCCCGAGGCGTCTCCCTCGAGCCCTCGCGGCGCCAGGGCCGGCTCCACTGCCTCGCCCCAGGCGGTTCGGCCAGGGGGTCTGCGAAGGCCACGCCCAGGGAAGGGGACACCTCCTCCCGCCACCGCCGCCCTCTTCGGGAGCCGCGGGCCCGGCCACCTCCACCCGGTCAAGCATAGCCAAGAGCAGCCGCGTGCGTGGCGCCCAGGTGCCCTTTAGGCCTTCGGATTCCTGCGGCCCACGGAAACCCTCCCAACCCACCGGCCAAAGCAACAGCCGGGGCGGGGAGTCGAACTCGGACTGACCGCCATCCGCGGTCAAGGAGGTGGGGCTTTCTCCGAGAGGGCGCAGGGGCCGGGGTCCCCGGCTCAGAACCCCGGCGGGGCGCGCGGCCGGCAGGCCTCCCGCGGACGGAGAGGGAGGACCGGGCTTGGTGCTTAGTGCTCGGAAGGGGGCCAGCGATGGCCGGGTACCGAGAGTCTGCAGGCAGGGGCGCAGGGGCGGGCCGGGGGCCGGGGGTCCCGGGCGGCGTTGGCAGCAGGGGCCGCCGGGAGGGCGCTGGGAGGGGGCCGGCCGCCGGTCAGTCCCGGTGTCCGCGGCCCGGGAGTTTCGGGCGCAGCCAATGGGGGGCGGAGGCTGGGCGGCGCGCGGCGCTGATTGGCTGGCGCTGGCTTCTTAGGCGTGCGCGGCCCCCGCTTCATGTCTGTGCAGGAGTCGGCAGCTGGCGCCAGGGCGGCCGGAGGATGCCGAGGGGCCGGAGCCGGGCGGGCCCGAGGCCGAGGCGCGCGCTGCCCCCCGCTGCCCCTACCCCCTGAGCCCTGCCAGCCTCCCGACGCGCCGTCCCCTGGGCTTGGCGCGCCCGAGCACCCTGCGCTCCGCTCCCGCGTGCCTCTCGTCCCCGCGGCGCTGAGCCTGTAAGTTTGGGGTTCCAGAGCCGGCCGGGGGGGCTGTGTCTTTTATAGCTTCTGCGAGGAGGGGTGGGGGGCTACGAGCCGTGTTGTGGGGCTTGGGCATGGGACCTGGCGGTCTCCTGCTTCGGTGCGCCTCGGAGAGAAAGTGGGTGCCGGTTCTCGGTCACAGGCTCCTGAGCGCATTTGGGGCGCGCGGGTCAGCGGTGCCGCCCGCGCCGTTGGTGCGTGCCTGCGTGCTTGTCGGCGGGAGCACGCAGCCCCAGAGGGGGCCTGGCCCCAACTTTTGGCCGACCTTTCTGTGTTTGTGTCCCGGAGGGCGGGGGCCCAGCGAGAGCTCCCGTCCGGGGCGCCGCTCTCTGTGCCTGCGTGTTTTGGGGTCACCGACGTCGGAACGAGTGTCTGTGCGCGACCCCCGAGTTCACGGGTCTGGGGCTCTGGGGCTGCGGGTCGCCACGTGAGTGTGCGGGGCTGGACGCCCTCCCCCGCCTTCCTTTCGTTTTGAGCCTTGCCCAGTCCTCGGGCCGGGGACTGGTCCGCCGCAGGACTCCGCTGCGGCCCAGTTGGCGTGCGGGACGCCGCGCGCAGTGGAACACTTGCCGGGGGTGGGGAGTGTGTGTGTGTGTGTGTGTGTGTGTGTGTGTCGCGGGCTGGCGGCGCCCCTCACGCCCCCTTCCGTCGCTCAGGGCCGACGCCGTCTCCGCCTAAAGCCTGAGCCTTCGGCCATGGAGGTGGCGCCGGAGCAGCCGCGCTGGATGGCGCACCCCGCCGTGCTGAACGCGCAGCACCCCGACTCACACCACCCGGGCCTGGCGCACAACTACATGGAACCTGCGCAGCTACTGCCCCCTGACGAGGTGGACGTCTTCTTCAACCACCTCGACTCGCAGGGCAACCCCTACTATGCCAACCCGGCCCACGCGCGGGCACGCGTCTCCTACAGCCCCGCGCATGGTGAGCCCGGGGCCCGCGGGTGAAGGGGGAGTTGCAGACGGCTGGAGGCCAAGGCGAGGGAAGGGAGGAGGGCCCTGACTGTCTGCTTCCCGGATGTTGGATCTGCAGGACTCAGAGCAGCTGAGAAATGGGGACAGGGAAAGGAGGGGGCCTTCGCTTCGTGGAGGGGGGGGCGATCTGGGGCCCACGGGGCTCCCTGCCTTTTCCACCTGGCTCCTGAGGGCTCACTGGGGGCCCTGTCGCTGCTAGGCCCCTGTTGCCTCGGCGGGACATTCCTGATGGGCACAAGGACTGGCATGTTGTGTTTCTGGTGGTCTTTGCGGGAGCTGGGAGTCACTGTTGACTGGGTTTTGGAGTTGGGGCCCCGCGCATCTGAGCCTCCCTGAGCCGCTCTCCCTTCCTCCCCCTGCAGCCCGTCTTACTGGAGGCCAGGTGTGCCGGCCCCACTTGTTGCACAGCCCGGGTCTACCCTGGCTGGACGGAGGCAAAGCGGCCCTCTCTGCAGCTGCTGCTCACCATCACAACCCCTGGACCGTGAGCCCCTTCTCCAAGACTCCGCTACACCCCTCAGCCGCTGCAGGGCCCGGAGGCCCGCTCTCTGTGTACCCAGGGGCTGGCGGAGGCGGAGGAGGCAGCAGCAGCAGCTCCGTGGCCTCCCTCACCCCCACTGCAGCCCACTCTGGATCTCATCTCTTTGGCTTTCCCCCTACACCACCCAAAGAAGTTTCCCCAGACCCCAGCACCACGGGGGCCGCCTCGCCAGCCTCCTCTTCTGCAGGAGGTAGTGCAGCCCGGGGGGAGGACAAGGATGGCGTCAAGTACCAGGTGTCGCTGACCGAGAGCATGAAGATGGAAGGCGGTAGCCCTCTCCGCCCAGGTCTGGCCGCCATGGGCACCCAGCCTGCCACTCACCACCCCATCCCCACATATCCCTCCTATGTGCCAGCTGCCGCCCACGACTACGGGAGCAGCCTCTTCCACCCGGGAGGCTTCCTGGGTGGCCCAGCCTCCAGCTTCACCCCCAAGCAGCGCAGCAAAGCACGATCCTGCTCAGGTAAAGGCCAGCGCGCAGAAACTCTTCCTGGAAGGCGGGCGGGAAGGGGGGGCGGCAAGCAGTCTGTGCCCTTGGGGTGGGCTGTGGTTTGGGAGAGGGGGCTCTGAGGATAGGCGATACTCCTCTCTGATTGCCCCTGGCAGATATTTGAGACTGCTCGAATATCTCAGGGAGAGGAGGATCCTAAAACTTTCCCCCTATTCTTAAGTGTTCCTGGTGGCTGCCCAAGGCCAGTTCCCTGCCCACACCCCTCCCCTCCCTCTCTCCAAGGCTGGCCACTGCCAGACCAGAACGAGGAGGCAGAAGGGGAATTCCCCTTTGCCCTCGCCAGATCTTAAAGTGAGAATTCGAGCCATCTTAGGACGGAGTGTGCGGGAGCGCAGGGGATGGGCAAGAGAAGCCACACTGCGTGCGTGTGCGTACGCGACAGCGTGTGTGCGTGCGCGAGCTTCAGGCACTCCAGAGGTCCCAGGCCCTTAAGGAATCCGGTTCTCCGACTTAATCAGCCCGATCTTGGGATTTCGATGCCTCATGATCTCCTTGGGAGATTTGCCCCAAAGCAGAATTCTTAGGACTAGCTCCAGCCGGAGCTCTGGGAGGGCTGCAGTCGGGGGTTGGAGCTGCGGGTACCCGTACCCCTCCACCTGCCGGCAGCGACCGACCGGCTGGAGCCAGGGAGCAGTCGCCCAGGAATCTTGCTGGCAGCACTCACCCGAGGCTAGCTTGGGGTCCTGCTGTTCATAGCAAGGGGAGGGGGAAAGATTTCCTAAACTTTTCGCCGTGAGTCAAGCAACCACTGGTCATTTCGACTAAGTCAGGAAGAATTTCCTGGGTGACTCTGGGTTGAGGCTGCCTACTTCAGCCCCAACAACCTCCCCGTTTCCCGCTGCCCTCCAGCACCAGTTCCCTTTCGGTGCCACCCCTGCACACACGCACTGCGCTCCGAGTAGGAATGCGGTGGCCAGTTCTGCTAGGGCCCAGCCGGCTTGATTTCTTAAGTCTTTTCTCACGAGTTAGCTTCCCATTTTATTTGAATTCCAGATGGCCTTTCAACAAAACGAAAAAAAAAAAAAACCCACACAAGCAAACCCCAAAACAAAGCAAACAAAACAAGGTCACCGAGTTTAAAAGTGAAAGAGCCTCGTTTTCAATTTTATTTTAAAGACTGACAACTTCGATTCCAGTGCAGGGCTTGATCCCAGGGGAACTGTCAGAAGAAAGGGAGAGAAGTTGGGGGCCCAAGAACTTTTGCCTTCTGCCCCTGGACCCAGAGCAGAAAGTCGCAGGGGCAGAAGGCACGGGCGGGAGAGGAGACAAACTGAGCTGGGGAATGAGGAGGGAGGTCAAAGTGGGGACCTTGACACTGAGTGAAGAGCAGCCCTTGGGACGTGCAGGTGGAGCCAGGCACCACCCAGGGACTGCGTTGAATTCTCTCTCCAGGCCCCTCGCTGGGTCCCTGGGCTCTGCACAGCTGAGCGGCAGCCATCCCGTGTCCTGGTTCCCTCCCCATAATCTTGTCTCGCCCTGTCCCCCTTCAGAAGGTCGGGAGTGTGTGAATTGCGGGGCCACAGCCACCCCTCTGTGGCGGCGGGACGGTACCGGGCATTACCTGTGCAACGCCTGCGGGCTCTACCACAAGATGAACGGGCAGAACCGGCCGCTGATCAAGCCCAAACGGAGACTGGTAGGCACAGCCTTGTGGGCCTCAGGGGGATGTGGGATTGGGGAGGGGGCTGCCCGCCTGGCGCGCACAGGGGGACACCGATGGGGATAGGCAAGAGCTGGCTGTAAAGTTCCGAGGGGTGACAACCCGAGAGCCCTCGCAGGTGGAATGTGTCATTCAGATCACTGCAGTGGCGGCAGTGGGGCTGGTCCTTTTTCTTTCTGGCTGAATCTCAGCCCACTTGGTACCCTCAAGTGGGGCATCCCAGGGGCCATCTTCCGTGGGCCTGGACGTGTCCCTCTGGCCCCTAGTTTAACTCTTTGAAAAAAAAAAATAGACCCATGAAGTACTTTTCCCCCATGGTCAGTCCTGGGCACTGTTCCCCCTGGCTTTCCAACTCAACCATCTCCTCTTGCTTATTTAAATAAAATACACACTCACACCAGCCACCAAAAAAACCTGCTCTTTATTATTTTTCCATGGAGTCACCTATACTGTGTATTTTCATTTGAGTGATTTAAAAAAAAATGCCCTTTCGGATCTCCTGCCCGAGTTTCCTATCCGGACATCTGCAGGCTGAAGATAAGGAAACTCCGTGTATCTGTTTCCGGACTCGGCCAGTTTGTAGAGTCTCCTCGCTCAGGCCTGCCTCTCGCTGGGCTGTTTTGAAATTTCTAATACCCTCTGCTCTGCAAATAATGCGCAAAATGCTAAGAATAATAAATATATTTTTTTTCAGGTTGAAGTGATTTATGAGGGCTTAAATCGTCCCCCTGCTTTGGGGGCCCTGTCTACCCACTCCCTCCCCGCCCCCCAAGCAAGGGCGGGGTGGGGTGAGGCCGCTGTGTGTGTGTGTGTGTGTGTGTGTGTGTGTGTGTAGGGGGGAGGATACGCTGTTGGCCCCTGAGTCAGAATTCCAGCTTCAGGCCGCTTACTCACCCGGTCCCTCCCCGCCCCGGCTGCAGGCTGCAGTTCCTAGTCCCCCTCGGTCCCTGGCTTGGCTGGGCCCTGGGGCCATTCCCAACTCTCCTGGCCTCAGCTCCCTCCACCCTGGCTGCGGGATGCTTTCCCACAGGGCACTGTTAGGCACCAGGAGGGTTAGCCAGGAGGGTGTCTGTTCTCTGGGGTAGAAACTCCTTAACCTGGGACCCTGCTCCGGTGGGACCTGGAGCGTTCTGACATTGGGGACCCCCGGGGCAGGATAGATGTCTGTCCAGCGTGGCCGCCTCTCCCCACATCGGACGCCTGACCACAGGCAACGTGGCTAGTGTCAAGGAATTCTTCATCTTGTTGCGCTGCATTTGGTCTGAGCTTAAATAAGCCCTGGTTGGTGGCTGGCTGTGTGGGCCTACCTGGTATTCCAGCCGGTTCTATCCCGAGCCCTTCCCCCAGCCATTGCTGGGCTGCCCGCAGGGTCCCCGGCCCTAGGGAAGCTGGCTGGAGGAGACGCAACTGGGTTCAGAGCCAGGGGCCCCAAGCCCAACCAGGGCACTGTCCTATGGCCTCAGTTTCCCTGTTGGTGGAATTGGGTGGCTCAGCAGTTGAGGGAAATGGCTAGTTTTTCCTTCTCGATTTTGCAATTGTCTTGATTCTGAGCTCGGGCTCTGAGGGTTCTTTCTTTGGAAGTTGTGTGAGTCGGGACTTGCTCGGTTCTCAAGTTCTGCAGTGCCTCGGGTCTTGATTCCCCTGTGAGGTTCAGCACTCCTGGGCAGAGCTGGCGGAGGCCAGGAAAGGGAGGGGGTCAGCGTGTGGGCTGGGGAGGGAGGTCGAGGCGGGGGGCGTGGGAGGCAGCCTGTTGACGCCACCTCACCCCTCCCAGTCGGCTGCCAGGAGAGCAGGCACCTGCTGTGCGAATTGTCAGACGACGACCACCACCTTATGGCGCAGGAACGCTAACGGGGACCCCGTGTGCAATGCCTGTGGCCTCTACTACAAGCTGCACAATGTGAGTGCGCCCCGCCCCTCCCTGGGGACCTCTGCTCTTTGTGCCGCCAGGCCAGAGGCCCCAGTCACAATATCCAGCTTGGCTTGGCTTGGGAAGCCGCCACCGCTGCCCTCGGGACTAGCCCTTAACGCCAGGGACGGATCGGGCTGGCGGGGAGACCACCCCCCCCCCAAGGCCTGGGGAGGTGGTATCTCTGTTAAAAAAAAAAATGTCGGGGGGGGGCGGGGACAGCGGTTTGAGTTCCGGCTCCAGCTCCTAGGCCCAGTTTCTTGCTAACCCTAACCCTGGCAGGCAGTGACCAGCTGTGATGGCATAAGCCACTGGGTGTCCTTCCTGACAGGGTGACTGCTGGTAAAGGGGCACCTGCCGTTTGCATCTGGACACTGGGCCAGAGGTGCTGTGGGCTTCCCGGAACCCCTCGGCCAGGCTGCCTTTGTCCCATGTGGAAACAGCTGGAGGTTGAGGGGATGGATCTTTCTGGGCAAGGAACCCTGAACCCTGAAGCCATCTGCGTTTGCCCCTAGGTTAACAGGCCGCTGACCATGAAGAAGGAAGGGATCCAGACCCGGAACCGGAAGATGTCCAACAAATCCAAGAAGAGCAAGAAAGGGGCCGAGTGCTTCGAGGAGCTGTCCAAGTGCATGCAGGAGAAGTCGTCGCCCTTCAGTGCGGCTGCGCTGGCCGGACACATGGCGCCTGTGGGCCACCTGCCGCCCTTCAGCCACTCGGGACACATCCTGCCCACCCCGACGCCCATCCACCCCTCCTCGAGCCTGTCTTTTGGCCACCCTCACCCATCCAGCATGGTGACTGCCATGGGCTAGGGGACAGCCTCCCGTTGGATGACCGGTGGTCATGGCAGAGAGAGGCTGGGTGCTCCCAGGATGGTTGCACCAACCTGTAGCTGCCCAGCCCTCCCTGCAGACCAAGGCCACTCCTGCCAGCCCAGCTGGAGCCAAGCCCCCCCGCTGCCCGTCCAGAGAGGGCTCTGTGCCAGCCTGGGGGCCGTTACTGTGAATAGCCCCAGTTGGGCCATGGCAGACCACCTGTGGACATGGCTGCTGCCTGGCTGGGATTTCTTCATGGACGACTGTGCGCACAGCATTTCACAGGACCACTTGGGGCCAGAAACGGGGGCAGAGGATGCCCAAAGAAAATGTTATTTTGGAAGAAAAAGGAGTAGGCAAAAATAATTTATTTTGCTTGTTTCTAACGAGGACTCAGAGGTATGAGCTGTTTCCATGATTTCCTGGTTCTTGCCTGGGGCCCATCCACCTGCCAGGGTTAGAGGGGCAGATCTGTGGGACCTCAGCCTGAGACCCCCTCTCCTCCTCTGGGCTTCTGTTTCCCAGACCGCTGAACTGGGTTGAGGCCTGAGGGGTTGGTAGCCGGGGGAGGGCGAGTCCTGAGCCCTGGCGGCCAGGCCCTAGACGGCAGGCAGAGACAATCGCGGGCGGTCCAGCACCGATTCCCAGGCCAGGGCTGGGTCACAGGAAGGAAACAACATTTTCTTGAAAGGGGAAATGTCTCCAGATCGCTCCCTTGGCTTGGACAAGGCCAAAGCTGGTATGACCCGGGTCCCCTCCACGGGCCCCCGTCTTCTGCCAGGTGAACCCTGCTCTCCCTGTATATACAATTTTTTTTTTTTCTGTAGATCCCTCTACCCCTCCCACTCTGAGACAAAAGGAAAAACATTATTAAAAAAGAAGAAGAAGAAGAAGAAGAACCTACATAAGCTTAACTCACTGATGAGTTAGTTGTTTTATTTTTAAAACTCTGTTTTTTGGAGTCCAGTCCATCGTACGCGGCTGCAGAAGCCGGGCTCTGGAAGGGAATGGCGCTGCAGACCGAGGTTGGCGCTTTGCAATAGCATCTGGAACAGTGCTTGGATCCTGCAGCCCTGGTGGGGAGGCTGGGGTGGGGCTGTGGGGGCGGCCCCATGGGCTGCTGGCAAAGGCAGAAGTTGAGGGGCGCCGAGGTTCTGGGGTTCTGCTTTGCTGCGGCTGCCTGGCTCCTTCCCAAGGTACAGCTGTACATAAACGTGTCCTGAGCTTCGATTCCGTTGGCAGCGGTGGCTGGGCCGGGTGCGGTGGCCCGGGGTGCAGGACGAGGGTTTGTGCTGATGCATGATCAAGTGCAATACGGGCCGGCGAGTCACGGCGGGGCGCACCACAGCCAGAAGTAACTTATTTTATACTCATCCGCAGAAACAGAGGAATCGGCAGTATTTTCTGTTTTTATGTTCTATTTGGCTTGTTTTTATTTTTGGATTAGTGAACTAAGTTATTGTTAATTATGTACAACATTTATATATTGTCTGTAAAGATTGTATGCGCTCCTCCTCTTCCTCTAAAGTGAATACTGTTAAGAATAATAAAATACTTTTTGTGAATGGCCTGGCATGTTTTGGGGGTCCGCCCCCTCCCCCTGCCCTCCCCGCGCCAAGGGCTGCAGCTCCTGCTGCTGAGGAGGAGGTGGGGGAGATGGGCTTCTGGGATGGGAAGACCCTGACACCCCTCCTCTGAATGCCCCCCATCTCCTCATGGAGTCCTAGTGCTGGATGCCTACCAGGCAGGTGTAGGGAGCGTCCTTTCCTTAAAACTCAGCAGGGTTCCCGTGGGTGCCAGGAAGGGCGGGGGGCTCTTGCAGCACCCAGCAGCGACTGACTGCACCCACACTTGGCTCCTCCCAAGATGCTGACATGCTCTGGCTCCTGACACCTGATCGCCAATATCCCCGTCCATTGGCCACCGTCTACTCCCAGATGCCCCTGACTGCTGTCACCTGTGCTCCATCTGAGCACTCGGATTTCCAACAGCTGATCACCCACCGACAGCTAATCCAGTAGCTCATCAATACCTCTGACCAGTGAGAGGTCTGGTCACCAGTGCCTCCCAGTACTCGCCGTGCCCGTGGTATGTTTGTTGTATCTCTTCTCAGCCATGTCTCTGACACCCATTTACCCCATGACGATGTCCTGCTGTTGGTGAGCAGCATGCTGGCCGGCGTTGGGGGTTGGTGGTGGTTTTCATGAAGGATGCTTAAAGATGGGGTCTCCAGTCACGCGATGTCTTATCACCACGGTCTGCAGTCCCTTCTCTCTGAGGAGGGCAGGACCTCTGGTTATAGAATCCTCTTCCCAGTGTGGTCCCCAGTGACACTGATGGCCAAGTTCTCTGGCACCAGTTCTGAGGTCTCTCTGATCCTCAGGGCTGTGGTCCCCAAGAGCTCATGCCCAGCTCTTCTGGTCACGCTGTCTGGACCTGCGACCCCAGACCCCGAGGCTGGTCACCAGCCTCTGTTAGACCTTTGGGCAGCAAGGAGTAGTGCTCACATCCTTGGTCACTCATGTCCCTGGCCGGTCGCTGGCTGTTGTGGTCCCCGAGACCCCTTGCCTGTCAGTCGGTGTGAGGCCCGCTTCTCTGATCATGCTCTGACATCATCTTGCTCCACCAGCTCTCACGATGGTCAGCAGCTTCTGACCAGTTTCTCTGGTCAGCAGCTTCCCTGCGGATTAGATTTCTGATCCTCAGGTCTTGGTGTCCTGGGCCAGGAGGTTTTGCTTGAATTCATCTAGAGTGTGGTGTGGGGGCATACTGGCTGGGGAGGCCGCAGTCCTGGGGGAGACACCAGCCATCAGGATGGAGTTGGATTTCCCCAGCCACTCACCTCAGGACACTTTGTGCCTTGGGGGTCTCTGCCTCCCTCACGTCTTTCCCTGTAGGCTGGGCCCCCAGAGCGGAGGGGCCTAAAGCCCCTGCGGACCCTAGGCCCACTCCTCTTTCCCTGCTGCAGCCCCAGGGCTTTCTGGCCTCTCCCCTTCCGGCCAGCTGCAGGCGCAGCGAGGGCAGGGATGGCCATGGCTGCAGGCTGGAGCGCCTACGTGACTGACCGTTCCAGTGTGCACAGGTATGGGCTTGCTGAATAGCTCCTGGACACCGAGACTGGAGAAAGACACAGAAATCCCTACCTTTGACGGCCTTACAGCCTAGGTTTTCAGGGTGGGGGCGTTTGTGACTTCTTGCAGGCCCTCCAACACTTGTCCCAAAATCTACTGCTCAAAGGTCAGAGTCTAGAATATATAGAATATATAGTTGTATAACCTAGAGCCTGCCAGTCAGGAACCGAAACTCAGCAGCCAGGCCATGGAACCCAAGAATGGAACCCCGGGTTCCAGAGCCCAGAATTCCAAATCCAGAGCCTACAACCTGAGGCCAGAGGCTGGAACTCAGAACGAATATCCCAAGAGCCTCTGCCCTCTAGCCCGCATCCCTGTTTCTGTCTTTGTTGCTTCCCTTGGCTTAGTTCCCTTCCCCCATCGACCAGTGCTTTGGGAACATCCAGTGTCAGGTCCTGGGGTGGGTGCACTCCTTGTCCCCGTCACAACAGCTTCAACAGTGAAGGGGGAGGAGGAGGCTGGCATGGTGGTGTAAGAAGCTAAGCCTTCACTTGCAGCATTGGTATTCCATGTGAACACCGGTTTAAGTCTTGGAGGCTGCTTCACTTCCCATCCAGCTCCCTGCTTATGGCCTGGGGAGGCAGTGGAGGACGGCCCAAGTCCTTGGACTCCTGCATACACAAAGGAGACCCGAAAGAAGCTCCTGGCTCCCCTGGCTTCAGATTGTCCCATCTCTAGGTGTTATAGCCACTTGGAGAGTGAACCAGAAGGCGGGAGTTTTCTTTCTGTCTCTCCTGTCTGTAACTCTGCTTTCCCAATAAAAATAAACGACTCCTTAGAAAAACACAAAAGAGCGAAGGGACTATGCCTGTCCCTCTTCCATCCCCTGAGATCCTCACTGGCTTGTGGGGCATGCTGGGTGCCCACTCTGCAGGCTCCTCCATTTTCATCCTGCAAGCTTCCACTCCCAGTGTGTGGGTGGCGGAACGATACCTCAACGCCCAAGTTTTGTGGACAAACTCTGGCAGGCAGGGGCTGTTTCTGACCAGGAGGCAGAGTTGGGAGGAGGGGCCGAGGGGGCTGTGGCATTGGGAATAGGGCGAGGGCTCAGGAGTTTGAGGTTCCTCACGGAGCCCTCACTGTCCAGTCATCATGCAGGTGTAATTCTGTGGTCGCAAAACTTCCAGACAAGGGCCCCGGCATGCGGCCCAGCAGCGGCTGCCTGGGCTCTGCGGGTCTGGCGCCAGGGTTGCCGGGGTGGGGTCAGCTTTTGTTCCATCTGTTTGCACCCAGGTGGGGCTGGCTGGCCGGCTGGGCTCCGTGGCCCTTCCTCCCTTCCTCTTGCTCGGCCACTTTCCAGGCTTGGCTCAGTCCTCCCATTTTCCCATAGGAAGAAACCAAGTATCCTTGGTAAGCCTCAGGGAGCAGCCCTACCTTCTGCCTGCTGGTGACCTTCCCAGAAAGAGAGAAAAAAAAAAGAGAGAGAGAGAAGGAACCATCTTATTCGCCCTTCCCCAGAACTGCAAAACTGGGCCTCGCCCCAGGAGAAAAATGTCCGGGAGGAGTGAGGAATGTGAGCCTGCTGGTGGCACTGACTTGAGCGACAGCAAAGGGAGGCACCGAGGCAGGCAGGGCTGGGCTGAGGCGGGCGGCCCCAAAGGCGCTGGAAGACCAAACCCACTCTGTGCCAAGTGTCATTGGTTTTATGTGAGTTTTATGCAAAATGATAAAATGATTCCATCTGAAAAGACTGACAAGCAAAGACCAGCAGAATAAGTCAGAAAATTCAGAAAGTGTGTATGTGTGTCACAGGATGCTGTGATCACAAACCTTACAGATTCAAACCTGTAAGAAATAAGCAGAGGAAAATAACCAGATTCTTTTTTTTTTTAAGATTTTTATTTATTTATTGGAAAGTCAGATATACAGAGAGGAGGAGAGACAGAGAGGAAGATCTTCCATCCGATGATTCACTCCCCAAGTGAGTGCAACTACCAATGTTATGCTGATCCAAAGCCAGGATCCAGGAACTTCTTCTGGGTATCTCACACATGGGTGCAGGATCCCAAGGCTTTGGGCCGTCCTCGACTGCTTTCCCAGGCCACAAGCAGGGAGCTGGACAGGAAGTGGAGGAGCCGGGATTAGAACCGACGCCCATATAGAATCCTGGCGTGTTCAAGGTGAGGACTTTAGCCGCTAGGCTATGCCGCCGGGCCCAGAAAATAACTAGATTCTATTATTTATGTGACAATGGATGATACAGGAGGTTTCTGGAAGTCATGTGGGTTCCAGTCACTGTGGCCCTGTGTGAGCGGGGACCTCTCCTGGGGGGCCCTGTGCCACAAATGGGCAAGTTCAGTCGGGGGGCTGCGTGGTCCTTTGCAGGACTAGGAATGAGTCACAGTTGATTTTAGATTAAGAGGTTCTCCAAATTAATAAACAAACAGGCGCGAGGGCCAGACCCTTACTGCGTCTCTCAGATGCAAGGCCAATGCTTTCTCTCAAGGTCCTTGGCCTTCCCCCAAACCCCCACTCTCCGGGCCTCCCACTCCTCCTTGCACCTTGGGGACACCACACCTCTCCTGCTGAGGAGTTGAGATGCACTACAAACTCAGTCTGCAAACCAAGCTGGGTCCCCATAGATCAATGCAGTGACACTGCACACCACACAGTGTCCTTTCCGCCTGTGGGAGGAAACCTTCTAGATGCAGACAAGTTTCTGAACAAGATGGAAGGGCCATGCTACACGGTGGGTGACAGGCTCACGTGGGACGGCACCTGTAAATGCTCACCAAAGGGGGAGGGGGAGTAAACACCCCAGAGACTCACTCGGAGCTTGGCACAGGTGTTTCAAAGCAGCACAATCACCCACAGTCAAAGGGCAGAGACAGTGGCTTGTGCTGTGGGGCAGTGTGGTAAGCCGCCAGCTGTGATGCTGGCTCCCCACAGCATAGCGCTGGTCTGAGTCCCAGCTGCTCTGCTTCTGATGCAGATCCCTGTTCTTGTGCCTAGGAAGGCGGCAGAAGATGGCTCAAGTACTTGGAGTCCTGCTGTCCATGTGGGAGACCCACAGGGATTTCTGGCTTCTGGCTCTAGGCTGGCCCATTCCCCACCATGGGGACCCATTTGGTGCATGAACCAGCAGATGGAAGATCTCTGTCTCTCTCCCTCTCTTTGTAACTCTAATTTTCAAATCAATCTATATAAGAAAAAGGAGGTAAAGACACCGCAACTCCACTCATAGATGAGTGGTTAAACAAGTCAGAGTCCATCCTTAATTGGGTAATTACTCAGCCTTAAAAAGCTGAGTTAAAAAAAAAGTTCCACACAGATGATTCTGGATGGCATGGTGCTAAGTGAGCTAAACTAGACATCAAAGGATGGATGGTATTGATTCCATTTTTAAAGATTTATTTTATTTTGTTGTTTTTTAGATTTACTTTTATCGGAAGGGCAGGTTTACGGAGAGAAGGAGCAGCAGAAAGATAAAGATC